CAGTCTAAAGTGTCACATGATCCTTCAGAAATCATTCAAATATGCTGATTTATTATTAGAATTATCAATGTTAGCAACAGTTGTGCTGCCAACTATTTTTTTTTGGAAACTGCGATACCTTTTTCAGGATTCTTTGATGAATAAAAAAGTTCAAAAGAACAGCATTTATTCAAAATATAAATCTTTTCTAACAATATAAATCTTTGCTATCACTTCTTAACAATTTAACACATCCTTGCTGAATAAAAGTTTTAATTTCTTTCAAAAGAAGAAAGAATCAAAATTTACTGACCCCAAACTTTTGAAAGGTAGTGTATATTGTTAGAAAATATTTCTATTTTAAATAAATGCTCTTCTTTTTAACTTTTTATTCATCAAAGAATCCTGAAAAAAAAGTATCACAGGTTCCAAATAAATATTAAGCAGCACAACAGTTTCCAGCACTGATAATAAATCAGCATATTAGAATGATTTCTGAAGGATCATGTGATCATTCTTGGGAAATGATGCTGAAAATTTAATATTTCACAATATTAAATTGTTTTCCTGTATTTTTGATCAAATAAATGCAGCCTTGATGAGCATAAGAAACTCCTTTAAAAAACAAAATATCGTTCTGATCCCAAACTTTTGACCGGTTGTGTGTGTGTGTGTGTATATATATATACACACAGAACACTATCTCAAAGTTACAACGTTTGTGCATTTATCATGATTATTTAGTGACAAAAATGCATTTTTGATCTGTGAAGTTGTCAAAATCATCCTTTTTTGAGTTGCGCATGTTGTGAAAATGACTGCTGTTTACCAGCTTTTCAAGGGTCATGGCATTAAAGCTAAAAGACTGTAGCTTAACACAGAAAAGACTGTTGCATGATAATTTCACACTATTCTCGGTGTCTTACAGTCTTATAACAATATATACTTAGTGCCACAATTGCTGTTGAGCTTAAAATCTTTTGTTATTGAATCGGGAGCATTGTTTTAATCTTTCATATGCTGTTAAGTGATAAAACTATTACCTGTGATGGGATGTATAAAGTTAATCTGTTCTAAATCTCTAAATGAGTGAACGTGATGCATAAAAACTACAGTAAAAAAGCCCACTCAAGTAGTTTAATGTAGCCAGGCCGTAAGGGCCTGAAAGCGTCCCAGTCCTGCGGTGTTTGAGCTGAAGAAGGTGGAACGGTAGCGCTGCGCTCAGAGCCTTACAGCCAACTGGGGCAGTGAAACCAGGTCGCCCCCACGTGAGGAGAACTTCTGTTAAAAAAGTCCTTCTCCTGGAAGGGAAAGACTAATTATACTTCCTTCCAAAGTCACACTCTCTCTCTCTTTCTTTCTCTCTTTCTTTCTTTCTTTCTTTCTTTCTATCTGTCTGTCTCTCTGGCACGCTCAGAGATGTGGACCACGAGGCAGAGCAAATGCGCTGACATTGACACAGTTAAGATGCCATTTCAGGCTCCTCGTGTGAGGAGAGATGGCCTCCGAGTCAGGCCGTAAAAACTGACCGTCCGACCTGGTTCGACCTTTTTTTTCTGGTTCTACATAAACATGTATTAATTTTTATGGTGCATCATCTGGTTCTAATAAGCACTGAAGTTGCTATGTACACTATACTCAAGTTTCTTAACTAAAACTAAAACTCAAATAAAAATGAATAAAAGACTATATATACATATAACCCCCCTATTATTTAATTATTATCTATTACTTTAAATAAATAAATAAAATGTATTTAACAGTATTTTACTGTAATGCCGCATTAGATCTATTATAGTTCTTCACCATAAATATTAAGGAAATTTACCGCAAATTTTGACAGTGTTTTACTTTTAAAAGTACAAACATTTTTACAGTGTAGCTCACAGATCTCATGCTTTGCACATTGCAACCAGTTAAAATCAGCATGTACATCAAACCTGATGTATCTTCACATACCAAGATGGAATATGTGCGAATATGAATAAGAAACCTGCACTATTTTGGTCACCAATTTTAATCCTTAACCACTTAACAACACTATCCAAAAAATACATCTACAAATTGCATCAAATACATCAAAAGTTCATCTGAAGTGAAAAAGTTAAGGTCCCATTCTGGGGGTGTCAATTTTATGGTTATTTACTGTAAATTATAAGATGTTCTTTTTCACTTACAAAAAGTGTAAATTTAACAGTATTTTGCTGTAAAATTACATGAAATGTTCCATTAGATCTACAGTTTTTCACTGTATAGAGTAAGGGAGCTTTTACCACAGTATTTTTACTATTACAATTATGATCATTTTTCAGCTCTCAGATCTCATTGACAAGTGAACTTATTAATGCTTTGCACATTGTAACCATTTAAAACCAGCTGAAACCTGGTGCATCTTCACACAAGATTGAATATGTGCAAACATGAATAAGGAACCTGCAACATTTTGGTCTTTAACCTCTAAAAGAAGCACTATCCCAAAGTTACAAAGTTCATCTGCAGTGAAAAGTTGAGGCCCCATTCTGAGAAAGTCAGTTTTATGGTAAATTCAAAGATGACTTGTTCTTTTTCACTTACAAACATGACAAATTGAACAGTATTTTGTTGCAACATTTCATGAAATACCTCAATATATTTATTAAGTTTTTTCACCATATAGAGTAAGTGAACTTTTACTGTAGCATTTTTATAGTCTTTTACAGTATTTTTTATTTTATAATTTTTTTTTACAGCTGTCAGATCTTATTCAAACATGTAGTTATTCATCCTTTTGGTCTCCAACTTTGATTTTTAAGCACTGAAGCCCAATTTATACTTCTGCGTTGAACCTACGCTGTAGCCTACGCATAGACGCACAACCTACGCTGTAGCACCTCTCCAAAAATCTAACAGCGCGTCAATTCTACGTGGACCGCAAGCGCTGTGATTGGTCTGCTAGAACCCCTCCCTCCGTATGTACTTGAGTTTTGTGTGCGTTTATGTGCACTTTAATATATTTTAATGTTACACCTTCTTATATAAAATAAAACAAAGCAAAGAACAAGTGTCTTATCATTTATTATACTACATAGCATTATACATCAGTAGTTGTCCGCAACAAACAATCTTTATCTGCCGTGGTACAAGTCCTTGTGGAGATTGAAAGAATGCCATCTTCTCCTGTTCCGTTGTTGTCTCCTTTTTGTAGTTTTAAATAATGATTTAATGTTTTGATATTTATTTGCCGCCGTCACGGCTATAATGCTTCTCCGACGAGCCGCTTCTTCTTTGGCTTTTGCCGTGGTACTGCGGGTTACATCAGCAACATGCCCATGGACACTGCAGACTAGCAGTTTGCATGTGTACTGCACGTCGACACAGACAACAACGCAGAAGTATAAATGAAAACTGACGCTTAGCCTACGACGTAGGTCCGACGCAGAAGTATAAATCAGCCTTGAGGCAACACTATCCCAAAGTTCGTCTGGAATGACCAAGTTTGCTTGATGAAACCCGAAAACTGCATTAGTGAGAAAACACCATTAACTCCAGCCAGCACAATCTCAGATTGCCGCTGCGCAGAAAATCCATGAGGCAGTTGGGTCTCGAGTCAGAAAGCGTGTCCTTCGGGCCAAAGAGCAAAAACATTAATAGAATTTAAATCCCATTAGGCTGGTGTAAGTGGGATGTGTTGCTCTAACGCCATATTGTGAAGGAACATTGATTAATGGCTTTTGTTTGCTGCTGTAGAGCTCGCAGGCCTGAGGTCCTGAAAACCTCAGAGACTAAACCTCCACTGTTCATTATAACACAAAGTGCAATTAAAGTTGTGTGTGTATGTGAGAGAGAGAGAGAAAAGGATTGCCGGTTGCTTGAGGCAAGAACCTCCACAAATGGGAAAACAACAGAAACAATAGCATAAAAGGGGCAAATTGGCTTAAACCTCTTGGGGGGACTGATGTGTTTGTATCTTTAAACTGGATGAAACACTAAACAAGTCTTTTTCAAAGCTGAGCCGAATTTGGATGGTGTTTTTTCTTTTTGAGAGCAGTGAAATGATCTTCGACTTTTTTTCCCCCCTGCAGAGCGCTGGCGGACATTTTGAGACAGCAGGGGCCCATTCCTATATCACAGTACGATCATGAAAACATCGCCGCTATTGACACCTCGCCCAAAGAGAACACGCCTGTACGGACGTTCAAGAACCACTACACACCAGTGCACAACAAAAACAACCACGGTAGGTGGCGGCACTTCTGTGTTCTCAATGGAAATGCCATGTTTTACACACTAACTAAAATGTACCATGGTATTACCGTTTTTTTTTTTTGGGAGGTCACCATTAGAATGACATTTTCCACATGTTACCATGTGAATGGAACATGAATGTGGATCTAAAAGGATTAGTTATTTTTTTTCTCATGAATATGGAATTATTTTTGGAATGTTCCAAAAATGTAAAATAAGTTACCATGGCAACAGGTTAATCTTAAAGGGGTCATATGATGTTGCTAAAAAGAACATTATTTTGTGTATTTGGTGTAATGAAATGTGTTTATGCGGTTTAAGGTTAAAAAAACACATTATTTTCCACATACAGTACATTATTGTTTCTCCTCTATGCCCCGCCTTTCTGAAACGTGTCGATTTTTACAAAGCTCATCGGTCTGAAAAGCGAGGTGTGCTGTGATTAGCCAGCTATCCAGTGCGTTGTGATTGGCCGAATACCTCAAGCGTGTGACGGAAATGTTACACCCCTTACCATACTGTGATGCCATGCCCCAGCCGGACCGACGAGACAAAAACATTAAAACCCATTATAAACGAGGCATTTGTTGCATCCAGTGGGGACATAATTACGGATTATAATGACTTATACTGTATACTGGCCGGTGGGCTTGCGGCAACCACATGTGACGACCCCGGGCTGGACTCCGCTTCGTCCACGGTGAAAGCCGATCCGGCGATCCACAGCGTGAAGTTGATGTATTTCCTCAGCGACCAGCACGGATCAGCTCTAGGCATGACGAAGCGGATATCGTCCTCTTTTGGAAGGCCAAACAAAGTAGTTTCGCTTTCACAACGAAACACACAGCGCCTTCACGACATGGCGGCGGCGGCAGCAACAATACTACAGCGAGAATAAAAGTTACGCCTTCTTTCTTTTCATGAACATTTGGGCGGCGTTATGCAAATCTTCCCACATTGTGACGTAGACATGTGGGGGCATGTTAGAATGAGTCGTTTTAGGTAGGTGTGGCTGACTCTGAACTTTTATAAAGAATATCTCTTTGGATTTGAGACTTTAGTCTTTGCAACTTTAGAGATCTTTATGCACCAAGAGCTTGTAACACTCCAAAGAGAAAGGAAAAATTGAAATCGCATCATCATGACCCCTTTAATTAGAGATTATCAATATGTCTACGAATGTTGGAAATTAAAATATGTATTCCTGTTGCTTATACACTAGAGCAAGGTTTCGCAAATGCAAAAAGGGGTTGAGAGTTGATGAAAGGCTAAAAATTAGTAAAAGTATGAAATGTTAAATTAATAGGGCTGCAATTGAAATTGCGATATGGCTTCATGTTTTTAAATTGCAAAAGGCTGTGATTTGGCCTGGTGTGCTGCATGTTTACGTCCGAAATCATTTGGTTTGAAGTCTTAGTTTGTTCTTGTAAAGACTGGACTCAAGTGTAAACACCCTTAAAAGGCAACTCAATTTCAATTGGACTGTGGTCTGTTTGTTATTTTTGCCTGGATGTTTCAGCAGCAAAGATTAAATGTTTATCATATTGCAGTACAAATTGCAGCTACAATATATGACAAAAAGTTTTTTTTTTTTTTTTGATGCACATTGGTTGCATCAGAAATCACATACTGTTTAGCAGGTACTACATTTGGTTGGAATCTTACATGATTGTTAAAATATGTTCATATAGTATGAATATGTGTAATATGAATGAAATCTGGACGTACTACTTCAGCCATGTTGTTACTGTCACGCAAACTACCAGTGTGCAGAAGAAGTACAGTACATCATCCAGGTACATTTCACCTACTGTTTTTCCAATAGTTTGAATACTATCACTGAAAGATACCAAAGTGTGAACACCCTTAAAAAGTGTCTACTTCAATTGGCAACCACAATATATGACAAAATAAGCACAAAATATTTTTCAATCAAATTGTGCATCCCTATACTATAATTTAAAATAAAACACTTACTAAAAAAGATTAAATATATTATTTGTTTTTCTGAATTGACTCCTATGTCAAATTTTATTCTGTATATAAATCATAATACATATATGGGGCATGAAATAAATTATATATATATATATATATATATATATACACACACACACACACACACACACACACAGGTTCTGTTCGGTGTAAGACAGAATCTGATATGAAAGTCATAAAAGTGTTTGTTTATCAGTCATTTATTACTGCCCTTTTCCTGCTCTTTATGAATTGATGGGACAAACTTGATACTCTAAAGCAGGGATGGCCAACTACAGTCCTGGAGAGCCACAGTCCTGCAGAGCTTTGCTCCAACCTTGATTAAACACACCTGAACAAGCTAATCAAAGTCTAAGCGTTACTAGAAAGCTACAGGCGGTGAGTTTTTATCAAGGTAGAAGCAAAACTCTGCAGGTCTGCGGCTCTTCAGGCAACCCCTGCTCTAAATGTTGAGTCCTGAATGATGCAGTGAGAGAGTAAATTTACAGCATCTAACTCAGACAAACACTAGCATTCAGTGCTGACAAAAGGTTTGGGAACCCCTGCAGTAGATCATGGGTTCGATTCCCAGAGACTGCATGATCTGATAAAATGCATACCTTCAATGCAGTACAAGTCACTTTGGATAAAATCATCTGCCAATACATAAATGCAAATGTAAAGTTGTATATGTGTGTGGGTGTGAGCATATGCTTAGGAGTTTATTTACGTCGGTATGTTTGAGCACTTCTTGATCGAGTTGTTTCATATTTAAAAGCTCAGCATCACGCTGTTCGCTGTACAAGCTAATATCAAAATTAAAATGTGAATGAATTCCCCATTCACACTGAGCACAGCAGTCAAACAGCCATCAAAACACGCTCCTCTGATGCGCCGACAACACGCTTTCACTGACTCCAGTTCAGTGTTAATTAATGCAGATGTACTATCTCGTATGTTTTTGAGCTAATCAGTGGTTTGGCTTGTTGTACATAAATATTCAAAATGCTTGTGAATAAACTAAATGCAGCTGTATTTGAATGAGGTCAGCTGTTGGGATTAGTGCTGAATGTTCGTGTTCGTCTGAGCGAGATGCGAGCTTAAAGTTTACTCACTCGCTGTAGCATTCCCGACTCAAACATTTAGAGCGGCATTTATAAAGTTTGTCCTGTAATTTAATTAAAAGCACAGGAAAAGGCAGCAATGAATGACTGATAAACAAACCCTTTGATGACTTTAATATCAGATGCTAACTGAATCTGGGTCATTCCCACTATGCAGTACATTTTCATGTCCCAGTCATATATTTTGTCTTATACTGAATAAAATATTATACTGAAAAAAGAACTTAGAATATATTAGATGGAAATAGTGTTGTCACGGTACCAAAATGTCAGTATTCGGTACCAATACCAGTGAAAATCCACGGTTCTCGGTACCAATTTCGGTACCAAAGCAAAACACAAAAACATGCTAATTGAACAACATTGGAGGTCCCTCTCCATCCTGCCAAACTAACAAAGCCCACCAAACAATTGCAACCAGAGACTAGTTTTTGGCAGCTAATAGCTAGTCGTTTTAAGAGAAAAGACCCGTTGTCCAGCGACAAATCTGAGCTGTGCACTGAAAGCCAAGCAGTTGGCAGCCACCCCCCTGTGAGAAATAAAAAGCCAGATTCTGTTGCCATAGAGACTCTAGCTGGCATTGGTTTCCGCAAAGGTCAAGGTAAGTTGTGTAAAATGCATAATTTCATTCCACATCCTAGTCTTGACGCAGAAAAAGGTGCTGCTTTTTGTCTGAAGAGGACAGACTCTTGAGTGCCAGGATGTAGCCTTGGAGAGCAGGGCAAATTGATTAAATATTAAAACGATATTGAAGGTCTGGCTTGGGCAGCACCAACAGGCATAATAAGAGGTTAAATGCATTATTCACTCTGAGTGCTTTGGCTCTGTTGGAGTGTGTGTGTGTGCTTGAGCTGTTAATTGGCTCCAAGAGGAGTTTTCTTCTAGTGTAAGTCTGCACTGCAATTGAATTAGGAAGCAAAAAAGCGTCCATCAAATCTTGTTTAATCATTAACGCTTTGAAGGTAATCAAATAGACTGCAGGAATGAGTCAAGGATGGAAGATGTAGACGAATAAAGAGAGGGAATAATTTAAGGACTCTCTTCTACTATCAGAATGCTATATGTAACAATCCCGTTCTCATGGGATTGGAGTTGGGATTCGTTTTTGGTTTCGCAGCTCTGAAGGTTAAATCGTGACCCAGCATGCAGACAACAACCTCATGATAATTTAAACATGTTTTTGTTCCTTCCCTGCAGCTTCTGCGTTGTCTCAGAGGTAGTGAAGACAAATAGTGCCGTTTCAGAGCTTTACGCTGTGATTTAAAAAAGGGATTAGGTTACGTAGAGTGAGACAAGGTGTATACAGGCCTAGGTTCTTAACCTTAAGTCACCTCAGCTCCCTTGTAATCCTTATTTCGATGATGAAAATTTGATTAGTTTTGCCTGTGGCATTTTCTTTGGATGTAAGTATTTGTAATAAGTATGTGTGCAGCATTACACAAGTTTAACATAAATTATATTTGTTTTTTTGCAATTGTTGAAGATGCCGGGGTGCAGTGTATAATTTGAATGACGTCTGCAAACACAAAATGACTGAAATGTCAGTGGAGAGATGCTAGCACATCTGCTATTGAAATAGAGCTGTCCTTATTAGTGTTGTCACGGTACCAAAATTTGAGTATTCGGTACCGATACCAGTGAAAATCCACGGTTCTCGGTACCAATTTCGGTACCAAAGCAAAACACAAAAACATGCTAATTGAACAACATTTTTATTAATAACGTTAAACAAAAATTAAATGTACAAAACCAATGCCATTTTTATACTTATTTGAAATTGTTTCAAGTTTTTCCGCAAGTAATAAAAGTATGAAAAAAGTAAACAAGTTTCACCCAAAAGTTTAGTTCTGCTGCCACTGAAAAACATCTGTAAACTGTTGTCTGTTTTAGG